TCATCTTCATGGCCCTCCTCTGGACCCTCTCCAACAGCTCCCTGTCTTTCTTGTACTGGGGGCTCCACACACTTGGACGCAGTACTCCAGATGGGGCCTCACAAGAACAGAGTAGAGGGGAACAATCACCTCCCTGTCCCTGCTGGCCACCCCTCTTTTGATGGAGCCCAGGATCCCATTTGTCTTCCGAGCCACAAGGGCACACTGCTGGCTCATGTTCAGTTTTTCATCCATCAGGACCCCCAGGTCCTTCTCCACAGGGCTGCTCTCCAGGACCGCTCCTTGCAGTCTGTAGGGATGCCTGGCATTCCTCCGGCCCAAGTGCAAAACTCTGCACTTTGTCCTAATTTCTTAGACCCTAATCAGTTACCAGGGGTGCTGCAGAAAACCAAAGCTCTTCACTCACTCAACTGTCCATAGGAAAACAGTACTGCCTTGTGGTGAACATCACCTTCTGATCAGAAACCCTTCTGTCCATTTCTTACCTCTATGAATTCATCAGCGTTTACGTTTTTCCCCCATGTGTCTGCGATTTCCAGCTTCCTCTTACAGGCTGCAAGCAAAAAATGAAGGTATGTTGGTTCAGAAGGTTTGTGCTTTGCTTTGTACACATCTTCACATGCAGTGTGCTACATTAACTTCTCATGTTGGACTGCAGGCATTTGAGGCTATCCTGCACTGCAGCTGGAAGTGACAAGGATGTGAAGGATCTGGCTGTAGAGAGGCTATCTAAATCTGGTTCTTACTGAGAATATTTCTCTTGCTGGGAATCTGCACTTCCCTATTCAGAACAGCATGTTTGTATTTATTCTTGACAGACGTTGGTGCAATTTCAACCATTTTAACAGCAGTTACCACCAATTATGTGAGGAAAGAAATTAGTTTTGATTTAACAGATGAAAATGCCCGAACATTTTGGGGACATCAGTTCTGCTTCACAAGAGTGGAGTGTGAAAATCACAGTGATTTTCCCAAATAGCTCTGTAGGAAACATTTTACCAATGATGATATTCAAAACTATCTGCTGGTGGGCTGCTGAAGGAACTGAGAAGATATCAAACATCTGCACACATTTCTCAGTGAGGCCTTTGAGACCAACACGCTTTTTCTGTTGGGATCATTTTCCTGTTCTTTATCCCACAATACATCAGGGGTGATGAGAGCATTTGCCATGGAATGCATTTACCTTTTGTTGCTTAAGACACTCCTAAACTGTACCACATCCTTACTGAACTATAAAACAAAGTTTAGTGTTCCGTTAATATACATACTGGGAGTGCAATTAAATTAAATACAAAGAAATGAAGCATCGTATCAGTGAATATAACATCAAGCACCTCTTGTGTCTGCAGAGCCAGCGCCCAGACAGAAACCTCCTCCTCAGCCCAGGATCTGTTGGTTTGCACTGGAGAACTCTGCACCAGAAGCATTAAGGCTCTGTTTGGCATTCACACCATGCACTGCCCATATGGGATGATTGCTCAGAGGAGCAGTTCATTAATTAGAAAGGGCTGAGCAGGGCGAGCTTGAGACAGAGGTTACTTCAGCAGCAAGCAGAAATACCCTCTGGAAATGCCCTGCTTCTAGCAAAGGCAGATTTGTTATCATCGATGATCATTATGGGCTATCTATGCAAAGGGCTGGCAGCAGGCTGAATGTTGCCACGTCGGTGTTCCTGGCTCTATCTATCCAATGATCATTATTCAGAGAGGTCAAGTGTGAGCTGTAAATGGGATGGGAATTATGGAAAACCTTTCTGTGCTGATACAGAGGCCCCTGTGCTGGGACTGGGAAAGACAACAGCTAGACAAGATGTGCTCCGTGGTGCAATGAGAAGCAAGTTTCATCGTTTTCCCCTAAACAACTCTGTCAGTCTTTAATATAAAACTAAAGGAGACACATCAAAAATTTACCTTTTCTTGCGTCTATGGGAGTAGAAGCACAGACATCCAGAAAAATCTTCATTGCACTCTGAATCTAGAAATGAAGGTAACACTCAGAGGGCTGCTTCACGCAGACAACGGCTGGCAAATGCTGAAGTAAACCATGCTGAGTATCAGCCATGTGGGACAGCTGTGGGGCAGCCACGCTTCTTACTTCAAACAGGAGTTTGAAGTAAGAAGCTGAATGTAGACTTTGTTTCCAGTGTTGTGCATGTAAACATAGGGCAGTTTCCTAGAGGGCTTGTGTGACTTGGAAGAAGGATGCTTGTTCCAAGAGATCGTTAAGATGAGTTCAAATCTCATCTCTGATGAGCTCTGGTGTCGATCTGTACGAGCCATAGGGCTAGAAAGAAGATGTAATTGGGCAAAGGGGAGAGCAAGGCTGGCTGCCCTGTACCTGCAGGTGCATCTGGCCACATCTGCAGGGAATGCACTGCAACCTCCCGGGGTTTGGTGAGGTGTCAGACACCAACCTGCACCCTGACCCAAGGGACATCAGGGTCACCACCACAAAGTGCCTTCTGCAGGGCAGGCTGCACCACCACCAGCTCGCCCTTCCTCCCACCTGGAGCAACCACAGCAGTGTGTTACCAAACATCAAGCCTGGTTACCAGTGCAACTGGTATTCTGCCACTGACATCCGCTGTCCATTCTTTGAACTGAGTTGCCAGCGCTGCTTTTCTCATCTCTTTCTGCTGGTGCTTCATTCTGTCTGCCTGCTCTCTTTCCTTGCGTTTGGTTTTTACCTCAGACTTCATCCTGGCCAGCCTGTAGGACATGGGAATATGATTCAGACAATACCATCATACACCAGCTTAAAGAAGAGAGATTAAACCACTCCTGAAGAATAAAAAGAAATACGTTAGTGAAATTCTTGTCCTTTTAGTAAAAGCACATTTATGTCCAAAGCATCACTTGAGATTTGGGCTACAACTCTCTCAGCTGATGCAATTTCAAGAGTGAGTTCATAAATCCTGTAATTTTAAAGAGAGCTCAGCTCCGTGTCAGGCATTTCCAGCAAATAGGAGGTGATGGTGGTGAGGGTGTTCTCACTGCAGAATGAAACATGTTCCTTCATGGAGACAGCCGCCCGACTCCCACACAAGGACGGCTGACTCAGACTGAAGGACTCCCATCCCCGAACAAAATACAGTCTGCTTTAAGGTATCCATCCATTTAGATAAGGATTTTCTCCCATCTGTTCTCCCTCGTTCTTTCACTCCCAGTCAGGCTGTGGTTAAGGAGAGAAGCCCGAGGAAGGGCTGGTAAGCTTCAGAAAGGAATCTGCATTGAAATCTGCCTGTGTTGAAGGTAGTGCCAAGGCTTCAGGAGCTTCTCTGCAGCCAGAATTTCACTCTTCATCTTTCTAGTGCTTATGTGAGAGATTTTGAGCCCAAACTGGCATTTCTCTGCTAACATTTTCTTCCTGCTTAGAAAGCCAATGACTCACGTCAGGAGTCTCAGCTCTACATGCAATCCTCTGCACTGCTGTGGTTTGAGAATCCTATGCAAATTCCTCAATACAGCCATCACAAATATGTAAATCCTCAGCTACCGAGAATGCAAATCCCATGATACTACAACCAGCTGATACGCAAAGCCTGCGACAGCTATGGCCACATAAACCCCCTCGGCAGGGATTGCAGCCCCTGAACGATGCTTCCTCAGTTCTGAACCTCCCACAGCTACAGAGAATCTGTCCCCAAACGTACACACAGCGTAACAAGATAAGGTCAAGACATGGCACTGGTAGCCAACACTTTGCAATCTGAATCTCCAGAAATAAAAGAAAAAAAGAAAAAAAAAAAAAATTGTTACGTGTACCACGATAAATCAGTTGTATTTTTCTGTAGGCAACAAGGAGGGTGAGTGCGTGGCACTCATCACACTGCTGTAGTTGCATTCATATGGGGCGTGTTCCTATGGGCTGTAACTGATGTGGACGAGAAATGTAGGGAGACAGAAACTCAGAGAGGTAGAGAGAGATATTTAACACGTTATTTTATTCATTACAATACTGGCAGCTTTAATTATCTTCGTGTGGAGACTATGCATAAGGCATGTCAACGTTTTACTTCCCTAATTCCTGACACCAAAACCCCGAAACCAATTTTCAAGCTCTATGTACTATTCATGCAAATAGAAGAGAGCCATTCACACAGGAGTCATTACACACAAACACAGCTATCGGTGATCTGGGAGTGAATGAGTAACTTGGACATCATTCTCAGTCACCGATGGGTCATCTACAAACACAGTGTTCACTTCTGTGTTTCGATATAAAAAGAGCAATTAAAATGAAAGCATTATCATTCACCTAATGCAGTCGTGTTAATTGAGTTTGGGAGAAGTTTGGGAAAAAATGGTGTGAAAGAGTCCGTAGACCTTTGATACTGACACAAACTGCTGTCACTAACCTAGGCTGGCTTGGAAGTAGTTTACACTCCACGTATGTAATTAAGATAGAGTCTAAAGGGGAATTATATGCTTGCAAAGGGCAGAATATGGCCCTAGACAGGAATGACTGCTGTCATGTCATGCTGTTCTCTGTGACATGTTGTTTGTTCTGCTCCTCGTGTTTATAACAGGCAGAGATTGCCATCTCAACTCATTCTGCCATACCACACCTTTTGTGAGCAGCACACAGCTGTGGTCCTGTGACCTCTCACACGTTCAGGTCTCTCACCTCTCCGATGCTGTATCTGGGATCTCTCTTTTTAGCTCCTCCGTGACCGCATCCAGTCCCCGCAGGTAGGGGCCTGGTTTGGTACAGGTGTCATACTGAGGGTTATGTCTCATCAGATATTCTCCAAGAAAAGTAATGGGGTCAAATTTGGCATGCTCTGTGGCTGATGTGAGCACGTCCTTCCTTTCTACTTCCATTAACAGTTTTTCCACTCCTGGGATTAACGTTGGTAGGAGTTTGTCAGCCAAATAGGTGCGAGCATCCAGAGAGCCCTTCTCCTTGCTGAACCACTCCTGGCACAGCCCATCACAGGGCTCTCGCTTTTTTGCCTTTTCTTCTTTTGCCTTTTGTGCACAAATCATCTTCACCTTCGCCTCCTGCAGACTCAGGGACCTCTGCTGCACCTTTCCATAAAAGCACTCTTTCCAGGGAGCGCGATCGCTGAGACATGGCAGCTCAGCACCCCTCTGGTCTCTCTCCATTTCTGAGGCAGTCATACATTTATCTCCAGCTTTGGGATGCTTCAGAGCTCCAGCTTGGGCCACTTCTTCTGGCTGTGCAGCCATACACCAACGACTGAGACACGGAACAAAAGAAATATGTTATGTGATGCCAAAAGATGCTGCAGTGTCCTAGCAGATGGCACAGCCAGAAAACCTATAGCTTTATTAACCAACACTCTGTTCCTATTGCCTTTTCCGTTCTCTTATGCTGCTTTGTACTCTTAAATACAAGCCCTTTACTTCAAAGATTAGTGAATGATTTATAAAGATTAATTATGTATCACAACAGCCCTTGGAGACAGAGCAGCTAAATAACTGTTCATCTTCTATAGGAGAAGAAACTGAGACACAAGAGGGAAGAGATTAATTCCAGTTCACTTGGGGAGTCAGAAACCAAGGGCTGGACGTGGCTCAGAAGTCTCTCCCCATCCTAACCAGTGGATTCCTATTTAATGGCAACTTCTGCAGCTGTTTTTCTTCTGGATGCTTTGGGAAAGGGAACCCACAGCTCTGCAGCGAGGCTCCTCACATGCACTTCACCTCTGGCTGTTTTGTAAAAGGCAGATCTATAGAGTTGCAGACATTTTTTGTCACAGTTTCCCAAACTCCATCACTTTCTTCTCAAATCATTAACGCCGTGAAATACCAGGAAGGAACTGAGCTGCTCGCAGGGCACCGTTTGGAAACGACTGCTGTGTGTCTCCATACGTAACGGGCTGCATCTGCAACGGGGCTCACACAAATGGAGCACAGTGGGGCCTACCCACATGATTTACAGCATGAAAAATCACCAACAGAGCAAGAAAACAACAGCCCACCTCAGTGTTCAGCAACAGCAAGGGCAGGGTGACACTAACAGACAGCCAAACTGACACTAACAGACAGCCAAACTGACGCCCTTCCAAATTAAAGATGAAGCCCTGCTCTGAACTTGCTGCCACAATATTCCTTTTTCACAGAGGCCTTTCAGTACCCATAAAAATCCCACTGCATTTGCTCAGTTTTGCTCTACGTATTTAAGCATTTGTAGCTGTTTTCTGAAGACAGTTCAACCTTCCAGGAAACACATAAATGTGATCTACAGCCCTCCTGGCACCCAAACATAATTGCTAATAGGATGACCTCCTGGCTCATAACCACCGTCTGAAGCCAAATATTGCTGGGTAGGTAGGATGCTTTACAGCATTACATTTCTAAGTCTGTTTCTAGATGGGCTGGGTGGCATCTCCTGGTAATTTGTTTGCAATGCTGATTACCTGCTGGGGGTGGGATGGATTTATGGCTGGGCTGCCTGCCTGAGCCACGCAGTGCTGGGAGGACGGAGGCTGTTTTTGCCACCAAAGTGTAGAGGGAGTGCAGATTTATAAGGGTAGCAAAGGAAAGCTGTCAACCCTGCCAAATCATTCCTTGCTTAGGTGGGTTTCTCTCAATGAGCTGTGAAACCAGACTCCTCCTGCTTCAAAGCAGGGTGTTAACCAAACGTTCTGCTCACATTCCAAATCCACTGGTTTTGTTGTGCCAAAATAAACTGTTCTTGCAGTTATTTTTTGACATCGTTTACGAAACTGTTCCTCGGATTCTGCACAATGTTAAAATAGCAAATGCACTCTGCTGTAGGGGGTGCCTGGTTCTCAGTGACGACAAATGTATTCCCTCCATTGCTCTCAACTATTTGTTAGGATGATTTTGTGGGTTAGTAAATGTTTATGAAGTGCCTCTGTGTCTCTGAACAACAGAAGAACCGAAGTGCAGCTGTTCTATCTCAGTCCCACAGCACTGGCATGACCCCAAGAGGGGAACAGGGCACACGGGGCTGCGCTGATGGCTGTAGTGCAGAGCAGATAAATGGAGCTGTGAAGGTATGGAAGAGCACACACACAGCATGGAATTTAAAATAAATGACAAAAAGGATCAATCCCTAAAACTTGGAGCTGCTCAGTGATTACAGAGATAAACTCCTGCTCGTGGAAGGAGCTATCAGCTGATAAACTTCAACGCTGATTTACATCAGTTACATCTGCATTGAGAATTTGGCCCATCAGACACAGAGCTCTCAAGTGCTATGATGTTTCTAAGTGGAGGCTTGACAGTCCAAATAATGTAAGAACAGTGCACGTAGACCAGCTTTAGGAACACATAGGACATTTGAAATGTGATATAAAGTTTCCTGCAAGCCTTTGTTCGAGCTGAAGGCAAGATAAGTGTTTCATTATTTAGTAGGATGCCACTTCCCAGCTCCTTGGCTGGGAGAGAAGTGTTCCTGCTGCAAACCCTGCAGGTACAAAGCGATTACCTCTCCATCTTCTGTACAAAACCCAAACCTGCTCATAAATCAGGCGTTTATGGTTTTGCTGTTCCTCTGCTAGGGCATTCTGAGTGGTGGGATATGGCCAGGAAAGTTTGTTCAGGTAAATATTTTGGAGATGTTTGGGTTACAGAAGCCCTTTCAAAATCAGAGTCCAATCTCTGATGCTCAGAAATAGCTTTGCCTTTTGCTAAAGTGCTCCACGCCTATCTCACCCATCACAAGGAGCCCAACACCCTTTTACCCTTTCCATATCTGATCATGAAACAAAGGCTTTCTTTTTCTCTTTTCTTTTCTGAAGCTCTAAAGAACTGTTTTCCTTACCTTTAGAGCAGGTATCAAAACAGACTTTATTCTTCCTGCTTTCAGAGTGGCTTTGCAAACGAACAGGAATTAAACAGATGCCCATCAGTTCTCAAGCATGAGAGATCTCAAGGTGAAACAGGGACTTCTCAGGGCTGCTGCAGATCCGGGCAGTGAGGTTTACTCCTCGGTGTGTTTGCAGTTGCTAAGCAATGATCCCAAGGGTTGCTATGTCTCACCCACCACTCGGAATTGCTGCAGGCTGTCTTTTGGCTTTGGCAGCCCAACTTACACTCCTGTGCTGAACTTAGCGCCTTGTGTCACACAGCTGAAAACAAAACAGGGCTCTGAATAGCAACAGACAGCACTGTGAGCACAAACAGTCAGAAGGAGAATCCACAGGTGCCCGGTGACAGGTTTACCTTCACATTCAAGGTCTGTTAAGTCCAGCGCTGTCAAAAGTCCCTTGCAAGGAAAACAGATGTGAGAATCTGAGGGAGACAAAGAACAGCATGATGAACTTCCCTTTGCAGTACACAATTTGTTGCTATTATATCAACTTACATATCTACTTATTTTTTTTTCTATGAAACATCAATTAAAAAAAATTCTTTTCTTAAAGCTTTTTTTACCCCCAAACAAGACTTGCAAATACAAATGGAAGGTGGGATCCCAATGGCTCCGTGTGTTTCTGGAAGTGGGGTCCCGTGGGTTAAGCAAACTTTTAATTGCCCCCTATTTAACTTGGCTGCTATCTGACGATGTTTTCTCTAAGCAAAGTGTATCCTTTTATTATGCCATCAAATACTTGCACTGTTGACAAAATAATGGGCTGAATATGTCATCACAGATGTTTCGCTGGAATTGCCGCTTCTATCCTTTTTTGTTTTTTTGTTTTGTTTTTCTGTTTAAGATACACATTTTGGAAGCATTCTGTTGCCTCGTGCAGCTGATGCCAAGATTGAGCAATGAAAGCCCCATCACTCAGTAACAATAAGTCACGTTGGGCAGGGAAATGCTCGCAGCATGTGGAAGAAAGCAGGCGATTCCAGAAACCCAGCCCACCTGCAGCCCCACATCTCTCAGAGGATGCACGGGGCTGTGAGCCCAGGCACTGAGCACCATGCTTTCAGCACAGGGCACAGCATGGCCACAGCTCCCAACCTCCTGCCTGCACAGCCCTGCTGTGCCCTCCCATGGCTCTGTTCAGTCAGAATCCATCTGCTTGGAGCAGCCTCCTTCACATCGAAATGCCGCTGCTGAAAAGCACATGCAAATTACACCTTTCTAATGGCTCAAAGAAGCGTTGCAAACTGTGATTACTGCAGCTAATAACTGATATGTTTGACCTTTAGCTAACTGTACATGGTAGCTCCATTATTTACTTGTGGTGGATGCATTTTCAAACTGTTCACTGTTCAAATACCTGCAAGAGCTGTATGACCACAGCACGGAATTGTATGGGTTGGAAGGGACCTGTAGAGATCATCGAGTCCAACCCCCCAGTATCTGAATATTACACAAAAGTCTATTTTGGAAGCTGGTTTAAATAATTATTTCTTGATAGTAGTCCTCTCCTGACTATTTCTCAAAATGAGGAATGAAACAGCAGTCCCTGCACTCAGCCAAACCTGCACAGAACAGCAGATGCACGCCTTGAAGCAGAGCTATATTGCCATACGATAGAGCAGAAAACCTTCCCCACCCTCAGCTGTGAGTCCTGCCCCTGCTGAAAAGGACAGCAAAGGCTTTGCAGCAGCGTGGCCTGGCACATGCATGGCAAGGAATCTTCTGCTCAGCTTCCTGCACAGAACCAACCACCGAGCACTGCTGTCTGTGCTTCTCACCTCCCCAGTGCTGCCTGCAAAGGGCCCTGCAGGGTCATTTTTAGCTGAAAGGAAGAAGTGTTTTCCCATAGGATGATGAGACTTCTTCTGTTTCACAGGGAACAAATCAGGGAGAAAAAATAACGCGGATAAAAAACATCATATGTGAGTAAGCACAGATAGCAGCAAATCTAAATGATCTTTAGAGTTACTGAGAACAAAAGGGATCCCATATGCTCTGTTACATTGCTGATCCATGCCACGTTTCACTTCTGCTCTTTCCTGAACTGGGTAAGAACGGAATAAAAATTATATGACTGTATTATATTAATACCGTCCTAGAAGCACACTTTATGGAGATAATTCCAGGGAGAAGTAGCAACTATTGGTGCGAAAGAAGCGCTGTTGAAACTAAAGCTGGAATTTCTTCCGGCAGCCCACCTGGCTGTGCCTCCCCCCCCTCGGGAGCGCAGCTCCGCCGCAGCACCGCCCAGCCGCCAGGGGGCGCCAGGCGGCCCGGCCGAGCCTGGCTGCGGGGCTGCGGGGCTGCGGGGCTGCGGGGCTGCGGGGCTGCGGGGCTGCGGGGCTGCGGGGCTGCGGGGCGGGACCCCCTGACGCTGTTTAGATGTATATGGAGGATATATGAACCCTGACGGCCCTTCCAACTTGCAAACACTACGGACCAAGTGCTCAGAATATTGGATGGGATTTAATATACGGTCGGGGAAAAGGAGAGCCTGTGTTGTCCCGTTAGAATGGCTCGTGCTGGACGGGCGCAGAGCTCCCATCAGACGCAAGGCAGCTCGCAGGTTGGGAGCATCAGGCTGAGACCCCACGTCAAATCACAGAGCCGTTCCGGTTGGAAAGGAGCTCTCAGATCCCCACCTCCCCATGCCCGCTGCCCGCAGTGCCACATCCCCACATCCCCACGGCCCCTCAGCGCTCCAAGGACGGAGATCCCGCAGCTCCCCGGCAGCCCGCGGCGCTCCATCAGCGCTGCGGCACCCAGTGACCTCCCGCGCTGCAGCTTACGGCCATCCCCTCCCGTGCTGCTGCCGTGACTGGGAGCACAGCCGACCCCGGCTCGCTCCCACCTGCTCTCAGGGCGCTTCGGGGCGATGTGGGCTCCCCCGGGCTTGAAAGCATCGCACCTTTGTCTCAGACCCCAAACCGCCCGGCGATATTGCGCTCTGGGCATACTTTAATGCTTCAGATGTCACGCGTACTTATCAGTCGAGCTTTTTGCTCGGACACGGAATTATAAAGAAGAATTACAGGCCGTTTCCAGTACTCCAAGAGCGCTCCGCCCCAGGCGGTGCCGGCACACGTTCCCTCGCGCACACCGGCACCGCAAGGGTTAACCGCCCCCAGAGGCGGCGCCGCGCTGACAGCTCGCGCATGCGCCGTGCCGCCTCATTGTGCCCGGCCGGCCCGGCCCCAGCGCGCCTCAGTCGGCGAGCGGCCGTCGGCGCGCGTGGAGCTGCTGCCCCCTGCGGCCGGCGCCGCGCCACCTCCGCTCCCCCCCCTCCTCCTCCCTGCCCGCCATGGAGTAAAGGCCCCCGCCGGCCGGCCGGGTGGCTCCGCCGCCGCTCCTCGATGGCTCTGGTCACGGTGCAGCGCTCGCCTACCCCCAGCGCCACCTCCAGCCCCTGCGCCTCGGTGAGTCCGCCCGCCCTGCGCCGAGGGCAGCGCGGCGCTCTGTGGCGGCCGTTGGGGGTCCGGCGCGCGGAACTGCGCATGCGCCGGGCGGATCGCGCGCCCCGACCCGCGGCCCCGCCGGGCAGCGCCGTGCGAAGCGCGGGGCCGAGCGGGGCGGCACCTCGGCGGGCCGCGGGGAGCTGCGGGGAGCGGGATTCCCTGCCCCGCCCGCGGCGCAGCCGGCTGGGTTCCGCGCTCGCGGTGTGCGGTGGGGGCGGGCGGGGCGCGCCGAGCCGAGCCCGTCCGACGGCACGCGGGTGTCCGCACCGACCGCCCTCCGTGGGAACGCGCGGCTGGCGCTGCCCTGGGCCGCTGCTTCTTGCCTCCTTGTAGCGCCGTGCGGCCGGGGCTTGAAATCCCCGTCGCTCCCGTGGCGGGGGGCGGCAGGAGCGCTCGGTCGGCTGCTTTGGTTTGTCTTTATCTCGCTCCGTGCCTCCCTGTTTATTTAGCAACGCCGTTTGATTTCCACCCGTGTTTCTTCGCCATCAGTATTAACGCGCTGCATGACTTCCTCTTCTGCCTTCCTTACCTCCCCAGCCCTGCTTTCCCCACGAGCTCCTTGCATTTAAGAGATCTCGTTGCAGGAACAGGTCCCTCTTGGCATCCTCCTCACTTGCACTTGGATGTGCAGTCCCTTCCTTTGTTAGATCTTTGATACAGGTGAGCAATTAGCTGTATTCTGTAAGGTTTTCCCACCTGGAGCAGCCAGGCTCTTTTCTAACCTGGTTACCACGCGTGCTGCTTTAGGCTGGGATCACTCAGCGTGATTAGAAAACGTTTGTATTCTGTATTTGATGCCCACACCAATGCTCGAGCTCTGCGTGGTTCTTAGGTACATAAACTGCTCCCTTCAGGGTCTGACACGTCCACAGAACGCAGCTCTCAGTGTCTCTGTGCTCTTCATCTCTCAGCACTCAGCTGCGATCTGTACCGCTGCTTTTTGTGCCCTTACAAACACAGGTGTGGGTCTGTTTTCCTAATCTGGTTTTGCTTTTCGTAATTTCTTGTTCTTTCTCAGGCTTTTCTTGCAGTTTGAAGTGGAAACGATGCTCCTCACGTTCTGTCCTTAACTGCTGTCAAGTATACTTTTCAACTGCTGCATTTCCTGTGGCAGCTTCCTCACCACGCTCTGGGGTTGGCTGCCCTTTTAGTCCTGGAGTTGGTTGGTTCTTCATCCTTCTGTCAGCTCCTTCTGTGTCCTCTCCCTCCATCGCTGAGTCGTTTCTTCGTAATGGAAACTTCCAGCATCGTTTCAGATGGTCCTTCTGAGGCTGCCAAGGCCTGGTGAACAGGGCAGTCGCCTTTTGAGTCGTCCTGAAGGCTGTGCTCCTGCAAGCCTGCCTTTCTTATGGATGGTTGTCATGATGGGGCCTCGAATCTTTCAGTATTACATGAAATTATTTCAACCTATCTGTTGTAAACTGTTGGTGATAGCTTCTATGTGGGCTGGTAACTGCATCTCAGAGTTCCCTTTTTGAAAGGCAGTTCGTCTTGCTCAGTGATTTCCGTGAGAGGTGTAAGGCTCTATCTTGCTGCCTGACCCCTTGCTGTGTCTGAAGGAAGATTGTCTGATGACTGCTGGAACTTTACTGGTCAAACTATGGGCAGGAAAAAAGAAAGTAAGCTTACAGTGTATGGCTGTGTCTGGTTCAGTACCCAGGTTGCTATGAATTTTGAGGACAGAAGTGATTCTCTTTTAATTTGCTTGATTTCCTCCCCCCCCCTTTAGAGGTAAGATTCTCAGACAAGGAGAAAGGGTGAAACTGATGTCCTTAAACTGATTTCTTGCATTAAGCATGCCCTATAAACAGTTATAATTGGCTTTTATGGATTCAGGGGAATAGCTGATCCGAATCGCTCTGAAATTGGATGGCTTTTATTTATAGGCCTTTATCCTGTTCTCATTGCCATAGAGCATCTCATGAGCTTTCGTTTCAGGCTGGTGATGGAAGGCAGGACTGCAGGAAAGTGCAGGTGCCAGGAGTTGGAGAGGGGCTGCTTGGGCCTCCGTTTGTGCTGCAAAGTCAGCGTTGTCTTTCTCCTGTGTGTGCAGTGGGTGTTTGGTCCCTTCAGGAGAAGAAGGACGTGTGTCCAAGTGAAGAAAGGGCCCTTGAGAGCAGGATGCAGCAGCGGGCACAGTGGTCTCATCAGCAAAAGCAGTGGGATAAAACACTTTGCCCACCTGCTGCTCAGGTCTGCAGTCAGAGCTCTGCTGGAGTGAGGTGAAGAAACCTGTCCCATGGGAGCGGGGAAGAAGGGAAGGTGTTTTCTTTGTTTAAACAAAAACTAGCATTTTAAAAGGGAATCGGCTACTTTGCTTGGGCTGCATTGTTGTTCAAGACAGCTGTTAAACTGGCATGTAAACAAATAAGTTAATTGAGCTGCTTGTATCTCTAAGCAATGAGCTCTCTGTTCCTGTGAAGTTCTGCTCTCTGACAAACCTGGGCTGTCTCCATTTCTTACTCCATAGTGAAGCATGGACACAGCAGCCACCTGCCATGCCCAGGGCAGGCTGCATGCAGGCAGTGTGGTGCAGCAGAGAGGAGCTGCTGGAAGCTGGATGCCTCCAAGTGCTGTGAGTGCTGCTGACTGAGGCCCTGCAGGTTGTTGGGTTCCCCATCCACCAGGCCAGCATCACGTCTGTGCCGTCCTGCTGATGCCAACAGCTCTCAGGCTCTTTGTAGACTTCTGGTAATTATCTGTGTTGGGATTAATATATAAAAATTTGTTCTTTTAAATTATTTTTATGCACGGTTCTGCAGAACAAAAGCTGTGATTCCTTTTAAGTGCTGGCGTTCCTCAGCCTAACGCTTATCTGCTCTGAAGAGAAGAAGCTGGGCAGGCAATCTGGCCCTTGCTGCTCTCACTGCTCGCTGTCTTCCCTACCCTCAGGGACACAATATGCTGTATTGGAAGGGAGAAACTGACCCAGAAAGAGAGGATGTTCTGTATATTGTTGTAAAATGCACGGTTTAAAAAAGAAATAAGTTTAAAGCAAATGAAAACATAAACCGTTTGACTTCCCCTCCTCCATCCCTGGGGAGCAGCCTGCAGGAAGCACAGCCCTGCACATGTGTCTGAGGGTCTCTGTCGTGTTTTGCTGCTGGAGCACACAGGAAATATTTTCCTGCTTATTTATGCTTCGGCTAAATATAACATTTTTCCACCTCTGGTGCTGCAATTACTATTAAACAACGTGGCAATTGGGAGTTCAGTCGTTGATAAACCTTCCTCTGACACGGAAGTCCCATTTAAATTAGTTCAGATCTTGATAGCTTCTGCCTGTGTAAGATTCTGGAGGGGATTTCAGCCTGGCCAAGGGAGCAGTGCTCTGCTATGAAACCTTTAGTAGGCCTAGCAGTGCCTTCTTTAAAGATGCTCCCATCTCTTACTCGTTGTTTTTCACCAACTGATGTCTTTCAGTTTTCCTAATGAAAACTTACTGACATAGCGGACATTCTGAATATAAAATGCCTTTTTCTCTCATGCCTCTTACTGGTTTACTGTAAGGTTTCTTTGCAAAGCTGGCAGCTGCTGTGCCCCCCTCCTTGTTGCTTTGTTTCCTGGGGCACTGCTTTACGAGTTGTCAGCTTTGGAGTGTTGTTATCATGACCAATGAAATACAGCCCAAAGAAGCGTTGGCAGCAGTCAGCTCTTGGGCAGGTCAGCCCTCCTCTGTTGCCTGCTCACTTTATTTCATTGTTGACCCCAAGATGGCCATTCTTAGGTTGAAGGAAGTTTTGCCTTGGTACCAGTTTTGCCTTTTCTTATTCCTTGGGGTGTGATGCTGTTTGTGGCACCTCAGGTATGAAAGTTGCAGCTTTCAAAATAGGAAGATAAATGGAAGCAGTGAGTGAAACGTGCGCTGCACTGATCTCCTCTTGAGCCACAGCTGCACTGAGTTCATGTGTTGGGGAAAAAAAAGTCATTTAAAAATTGGGTGAGATGCTGTAAGAAGTCCCTGTCTGCCCGCTGTGATCCGTGCTGTCAGAGCAGCCAAGAATGGCTGAGAGGTCGGGCTGCTGTGTGGTATCTGCTGTTGTTCTGAGCCACTGAAACATTTACTTAAGAGCTGCGTGAATGAAGGCTGCCATTCAAACAGGGACCTGCTGGAAGTATCTTGGAGTGAGAGGGCACTGACTGAGGATTTCCACTTCCTTGAAACGAAATCCTGAGAGATCTATAACTGCAACTCCTGTGTCTTGGGAAATTTCCCGAGACAGAAAATAGCCTTTGGGCAGCTCAGCTCTGTGTAGCAGCTCCTTGCTCACAGCCTGCAGCTCAGGGCTTCATCTGCAGTCACAACAAACCACGTCCTCCCAGCACCTGGAGTGACTCGGCCCTGCTGATGTAAAGCAGTGCTGGGAGCCCTCGCTGTCCTTGCGAGGCTGTCATGGGCAGCAGGCTTCAGAAATGCTCCCGTGTTTCTAGAGCTCAACTGACTCAAAGCTTTCACTGTCTTCACGTCTGAGCCCTGCACATCACCTTAGCAATAGGTGTGCACTGAGCTGCTCTTCTTCTCTAATGGTGCTTGCTTTATGTAAGCTGGCCTGGCAATGTGAAGGCAGCACTCTTGTGAGCTGCCTGCTCCGAGTCTCTGAGCTGTTCAGTTCAGCCTGGGAATACAACCAGAGCCTCATTTCTGATTAGCTTGAATGTCCTTTTAATTTATTAGGTAATGAGAGTAACGCGCGTGTCGTTGGTGTAAAGGGACCTTGAAAGCAAAGGAAGAAATAGATATCTATTAGAAGTAGTTGGGAATTTGGACAAGAGAAACAGAATTTCTAATACATTGGCTGGAAGCTGTTCCTCTGGAGGGTTCTGCTTCAAGGGATGCAAACTGAAGAAGGCTAAAACCACATTTGCATTTCCGAGTTGGGCTGTACAAACCCATTAGGTCCCAGAACCACCTACAAAATGCCTTATTGCAGCACTGTAACACTGCAGTGTCTGTGGCTTGTGTGTTTTACCATTTGGGCAGGCTTTATACATGTCAATAGCTTTTTGCCCAAGTGCAATTGCTCTGGGTATGCATCTTATCAGCATTGCTC